CCTTCAAGAGTAGAGCTTACATCCCAGAGCCAGTTTTGATAAGCTGATCAAGATTAATGAATGGATCAGCCTTAGTTTAGCCCATCTTGGGAAGGATGGTTCTTGCTCTGTAAGCAACAAATATGTGACCTCCCCAGAGATTTGACAAGTTCATTTGTGCTTGAGCTGTGGTTTTGAACATTCTGAGATCTCGCACCCCTTTAATAACAAAAGTCTTATAATGTTCCCAGTACCATCTTGAGATCCAATTCATGGAAGACCTAGTCTACCTACGTGTGACTTTAAAGCTGAAATAGTGTTCTAACTGCAATGTAAGGAAAAATTAGAAGAAAGTAATTTATAATAAAATATGAGTTCTCAAAATTTTTTCTCAAATTTGACTTACCAAGAGACAGAATTTAGGAATGAGGTGTTTTGAATGAGGAAAAATGGGCATAACGGGATATTACTGTGCAGGAAACTCATGCAACTTAGACATCTCTGATGGGGAATTATGTCATATTCTGTTCTGCCAAAGAACTCTTAGCAACCATCTTCCTTCAATTTACCTATTGGTTGCATTCCCGAAAAACTCAAAATATGCTAAAATGATACCCCAAATAAATGCTTTAGGTTTACATGTAAAACAGAGGTAGGTTATAGATTCAAATAATTGTAAGTGACTTTTTCTTTTACATGGATTATGTCCAATATTTGACATTTGAAAGTTGTGTGGCACACATAATAAGTGGTGCCACTTATTCTGTGACACCATCCTGAATATTTTAGCAGGTCTGTCATCCCTGACCCCTACCCACAAATGACTCAAGCCCCTCTAAACACTTTGACATTTAAAAAGTCTGTATGACCATCTAAAGCACTCTCTTCCTGGCTAGATGGTGGTATTACTTTCCTTGAACAACTGCTCTGGAGGTTAATGGGCATTCTTTTCATAGTGGGTGCTATCACAGGGTACTTCAGGGCTTCTCAGGGGGACCAGATAGAGGTTCTGAATGATGCCACTTCACAAAGCTTCCAGCATGGAGAAAGGCCTTGTGCTCATAGGATGAGCCAGGTGGCCATGGCAGATGGAGTAGGAAATAAGGCTGAAAAATATCTCCTGCAAAGTTTCTTTTCAGCCAAATGACAGCAACAGTCACAGTTGATTTCAAATTGGAAAGATATTACCAAGTGGGCTTAGTGTTATCTCAAAAAACCCAAACCCTAAAGTCTTGCTTAGGATGTTAGCATAGTTAAATGCAAATATCAGATGACAAATTATATTCTGACATGCTGTATTGTCTCCAAAGTGCTTTCTCACATTTTTCTTTTCTTCACACTTGACCCTTTCTTTCATGTGGCAGCATGTGAGTATCTTTATTTTAAGGTGTTCTGGTGATACTTAATATTGCATAAAGATCATTGTGCACAGGAAACTAGACAGGGCAGTTAACTGTTCTGGACATGCACCAGGTTCTGGAAAACTCAATGGTACCATTAGTAGTGTATCATAGATATGCTCAGAGTTAACCAAGAGACTGGTTTCTGAATGCAAATGTAGGCAATGCCCATTCTGTGTTTACCTGCCATTAATTTTGCTGTGCACTGAAAAGGTCTATATTTTGTTCTCAACAATAAGATAAGGAACAGCCATCCTAAGTAGCAGCATCTGTCAGCAGTTTACCGAGTAGGTTGTGTTGTAGTGCATGATGTGTCTTTAGGGCATGCCATCATATTAGAATCTATGTGAATGATGCTAATGGAAAGGGGCAGCACACAACTTGCTTAACTATATATGGTAGACACTCTTCCTATTCATTATCAATGACCACTCTTTTCCATCAGCATTCGTCTTTTGTTTCTTGCTGTTTTGCTTCATAAAATACTTTTTCAAATTAGATAATGACAGCAATGGTATAAAGAATATACCTATCATTCAAAGATAAAATAGTAGTAAACACTTACTTTTTCCTATGTGTCAGAATATTATCTTATTTGAATTGATCTGCATAGTCATTTAAATCAGAGAACTTTTCTAAGTCATTGTCATTTTTTTTCTAAAACAAAAAGTTCTCAATCTTTCTAATTGAACTTAGTAAATATATTCAGGAAACATCTCAGATACAAATAAAGTAAAATAAATTTAATGAAGAAGTATAGATCTGTTCTCTTTGGACATTCTTGTTTGAATTCAGCAGAAAATGTATGTAGGAAACTTTTAGTATCCATCATATAAGGAGAATTAAGAAAATATGTATAACCAGCTACAATATAATTCACCTGTTTTCTATATAGTGTGTTTGTTAGAAGGTTAGTGTATGTGTTGATAAAATGGCATTGTTTGATAATGGACAGAATGTAGCCTGTTGTTCTTTGTTGAGATAATAACCTCTGATTTGTTAGTTTTTCAAAACTACATGCAATGCTTACACATCTATAATTTCATTTAACCCTCACCCCATTCTGATGAAGTAGGTGCCTGATTTGTAATAAGTGACTTTTAACTACTCATTCACTGAAGTCTTATAAGTAATGACAGATCTGTGATTTAAACTTGGCTTTTGACTCAATCACCTTTTGCTATTCCCCCAGCTGTCTTATAGTCTGAGCACAGAGATGAGGGGAAAGTAATAGGAGTCTCTAGTGTATCTAACATTTGTGGTTACAGAACTACGAAAAGTCATGTATTTATCCCTGCTTATCTCCTTCTTTATAGAAAGAGAAGTAGCATCAACATCAACAGCCTAGAATACTTTGATAACTTGAAATATCAGAAATGTAGCTGATTTTTTTGTTATGGCAGCAGTTACTAAGTGGCATCGTATAGACCTAACAAGACTCACAAATCCATTTTGTGTGGACTACATGGATATTTTAAATTGAATATTAAAGCTTTTCTATGGAGCTCAGAATGGTCAGTTCTTCCCAGTCACCACTAGTTCCTATTGTCCCACATGATTCACATCAGGCAGCTTGGCCTTTGTTACCCTTGGATGAGTCACTATGATTATATTTTAGCTACTGGATTCACCCTTTGTTAGTGCCTTATTTTTCTTCCTTGTATTTCAGACTTGTCAGAAGATAAGTAAATGAAGGAAGAAGGTTCTGGGCGACAAGGATTGAAATTTTATATTGTGTGGGTAGCAAAGTTTTCACTGAGATGGTGACTTTTGACGAAAAACCTTCAAAGAGGGGGAAAAAACATGAACATGTATGGAGGAATACTGCTCCAAATTGAGGGAGTAGTAAATGCAAAGGCCTTATGGTGGGAAAGTGACTGGCATGTTTGAGGGGCAGCTGAGTGGTCTTTGGCTGGAGTGAAGTGAGGGATTGAGAGAGTGCTAGGGAAACAAATTTAGAGAGGTTAATATGTAAAGACACCTCTTAGAAAGCTGTTTTACATGCTGGGGATGGTTATGTAAGCTTGTAATCATCGACCCATAGGAAGATTGCCATAAATGGCCAACATAGGCAAAAAGTTTTTGAGACCCCCCCGCCATGTCAAACAATGACTGTGCATGGTGATGCATGTCTGCCATGCCAGCTATGTGGGAAGCACAGATAGGAGAATTGAGGTCCAGAAAGTGAGACCCTATCACAAAAATAACAAACAGAAAAGAGCTAACAGAGTGGCTTGAGTGGTAGAGCACCTGCCTAGCAAGCACAATGCCCTGCATTCAACCCCCCAGTACTTCCAAAAAAATAACATTGTTTTACAACTGCAAATCAATCCAAGAGTTTACTAGTAGGCAACTAATTTATTGTATTAACTAGTAAATAGAAAAATTGGGTGGTCAGCCATGGTAGCTCATGCCTATCTTCTCAGCTACTTGAGAGGAAGAGATTGGAGTATCTTGGTTTGAGATAGTCTGTGCAAAAGTTAGCACGATCACCTTCTCAACAATCTGGTCATGGTAGCACATGTCTGTGATCCCAGCTACTCAGGAGGTGTAAGGAGGAGGTTTGCAGTCTGAGGCTGGCTCCAGGCAAAAAGTACAAGACCCTATCTGAAAGGTAACTAAAACAAAATAAAGGGGGAAACTGGGTATGTGTCTCAAGTAGTAGAGCTCCAGTCTAGCAAGCATGAGGCCTTGACTTCAAACCCCAGTACTTCCAAAAGAAAAGAAAAAGAAGGAAGTAAGAAAGGAACGAACGAAAGAAGGGAAAGGAAAGGAAACAGAAAAAAATGGCATCCCTTAGAAATAAAACCAAAAGGTACTATTTTAATATGCAAAATGTTTAAGTTAAAATGCTAGATGAAAGGAGCAAGATGCAAGTTTGTGTACACAATATGACTGCAATTTCAGGTTGAACATCCCTTACCCAAAATCCTTGAGATCAAAAGTATTTCAGATTTTGGAATATTTATATAGATTACTAATTGATTATCTCTAATATGAAAATCTGACATACAAAGTGCTGTGATATCCAAAATCTTTTTGAGCTTAAAAAGTTTTGGATATCAGAGCATTTCAGATTTTGGATTTTTGGATTAGAGATACTCAGCCTGAACCTAGCACTAAAAACCACAAAATTGTGCTCAGAATGAAGACTAGAAAGCAGTACATCAGAACCATGATGTAATTATCCCTGGATGGTGGCTTCTACCATATTTTTACAATAGTTTAGTATAGTATAATTTTATATTATATTTGATAATAGCTTTGAATTCCAAAAGGCATCACTCATAATTATAATGTAGTAGTGACTTACCATTTTATTCTTATAGATATGACCAAAGTTGGAGGTTTTCATACTGGAATCACACACCTAAATGTGTGTGAATGTCATAGCTACATGACATATTACCAACCACCTAAAAATTGTTGGTTATTTAGGGTTTAGAGTATTTACCTTAGAATTAATAGTCTGTTACTAGCAGGACTTTGTTTAAAGTCAAGGTTCCACAGAATAATTTCATGGACTGCTTGAAGTCTGTTTACTATTTTGTTTCTACCTACACATTTTTGTGGAAAAATAAAAACTGAAATTTAAAATTAAGGGAAAATATCTCTCTACAGGTGTCTCATTACCTAAAGAAGACGTTTCTGCTCCCCTGATCTCCAGCTCCCCAGTGAAGGAAGCTCAGGAGTATGAAGATACCCCAAGTGAAGAGAAAGACAAAGTAAAAGGAGAGCCCTTGACGATCTCTGAACTAACATACAACCCAAGTGCCAGCCTGCTCCCCACCCCTGTTGATGATGATGAGATTGACATGCTCTTTGACTGTCCATCTAGGCTTGAGTTAGAAAGAGAAGACATAGATTCATTTGAGGAATTGGAAGCAGATGAAAATGCCTTTTTGATTGCTGAAGAAGAGGAGCTGAAGGAAGCTTGCCGAGCTTTGTCATGGAGCTATGACATTCTGATGGGCCATATTTGGGTGAATCCACTGGTCAAGAGTTTTTCTAGGCTCCTTGTTGTGGGCCTGGGACTGCTGCTCTTTGTATTTCCCCTGCTCCTCCTCCTTTTGGAGTCAGGTATTGATCTCTCCTTTTTATGTGAAATCCGCCAGACACCAGAGTTTGAGCAGTTTCACTATGAATACTACTGTCCCCTCAAGGAGTGGGTGGCTGGAAAGGTCAACCTCATTCTCTACATGCTGGGTTGCTCATGAGGTTAATATCTTATAAGACTAAGGGCTATATCCAATGCTAGTGATTTTTTTTTCAGTAGATGCCTGGTTCTGAATGGTCATAGGGTCCTCAATGGGTGTTCCTTTCTCATAACTTTAACTCTTAAGTTAGCTTTCCATAATTAAATGCACTTAAATAAGTTAAATCAAATATAGTTATTTTAGTTACAGGTCAGGATGATGGCCTTTAAATAACCAAAACATTTTTATTTTTTAATGTAACGGATATCCTCTTTATCTATTATATCATAATACATAACATATTGGACTGAATTAGATTTTCCATTTTTTAATAGTTGGCATCATTATAAGCTATAATGTTCAGAATCAGAATTTTAGTACAAATCTAAGGGAAAGCTTTTGAATATAATCCTTAGTGAAAACAATGTCCTCTAACCAATGCCTATACAACTAAATTTATGCTGACTTTTTTGTTTTTAAAAAATATTTTTATGTGTTCAAACTATTTTGGTAAATTTTTAGCAAAAACAAGCCTCTTTGGAGTTATTCAAGGAAACACACTGTAAGACTAATGCACAAAGGTTTATCAGGAATTTTTTAATGTTTTGGCACAGGTTTGTTTTTAAAAATATTTTTGACAGAGCAATCCCATTTGTTTTACCTACACACGAACTAGAAAGTGGATAAATAGACACCATAGTAAGTAAGTTTCCAGGATGATGGAACTGGGGATGTAGAAATTGAGAGCATTGAGTTAACACAGGAAGGTCCATTTTTCAAGATGGACTGAGATGCCTTAGTACTTTTATTTGCATTCTGTCTACCTATCTGGGCTGGGGAAGCAGAATGTTTTAAAAAGAAAGCAAATCTTTAAGGGAAATGGTAAAAAGATGTACCAGTTAATTGCTTATTGTACATTAACCTAAGAGTGGAGGCAGACAGGAATTGGGAAAGTAGCAAAGAAGAGTTCTGGAGAAGTTAGTAGGCATGTGGTGGTAGGCAAATGGTTTCTTTTATGAAAGTGATGGTGACATAAAGCATTAAATGATGTTAAGAACAGTGTACTCACTGTTTGAGTTCACATGAACATGTTTAAGTGGATCTAAATAAATGTGGAGAAACTTTAAGGTAACTCTTTTGGTCCCTCATGCCATTCATTACGAAGAAACTTTAAAAGTGTGTGTGTGTGTGTGTGTGTGTGTGTGTGTGTGTGTGTGTGTGTGTCTGAGAGAGAGAGAGAGAGAGAGAGAGAGAGAGAGAATGAGAGAATACAACTATTTGATAAATGACAATGATCACCTTTCTGTGGTGGGCAACATACTACTTTCCTTGCTTGGTTTCCTTAATACCTTAACTTATTTATAACTCAGACTTCTATGTGAAAATGGAAAGGGCTCATCAGATGATGTTTCAGTTCAGCTTGGGTGACATAGACATAGATGGAAAAAATAACTGGGTAACAGTGGGGACAAATCCTTGAGTTCCTTCCTGCATACCACTAAATCCATGGTAGAAAGGATTTGATGCTTTCCCATGCAGGGCATTCACCAACACCGTGCTACAAGTGAAAGAGAAAAGATTATAGACTTTACAGCATGGAGTATAGAATTTCTCTCTGGATTGAAAACGTCCCATTGCCTTCAGTTACAAAGAGATGGGGCCAATCTTCAGTCACTCACTAACTCTAAGGACATTCCAGCTCTATCACTAACTTAATTTCCAAACTGGGCATTCCAGGACCACTCATTCAGTGGAACTCTTGAGTGGTTTATCAGACAATTAATTTTGAAAGTCAGTTCATGAGGCCTTCTGTTAAGCACTTTTTAATATACACTTGCTATTAAGTTTTTAGGAATTTCTCCGCATGGACTTTCAATTATTGTACATTATGTATATGATTCATACTAATATAAAAATATATTTTCTGTGGTTGGAACCTACAACAATGTATTTTGGAAGTATTCAAGTGGTCAGCTTTGACATTGAAAGTTTAATTTTTCTTTACTGTTCTCATATGTCTTCTAAGTTATCATCTTTGACATAAGGGTGCTCCAGTGCAGTCTGCCCCAACTCAGTCCCAATTCTAATTGTGCTTCATGTCATTTTCTTTGAAGTTCTATCCAAGATAAATTATCTAGTCCTCACATTTAAAAAATAATATTAAGGAATATTTTTTAAATTATGGAAGTAGTATATTTTCCATTGTAAAATATTTAAAAACCATGAGGACAACTATCACATGGAATCCAACCACACAGATTTATTTTAAAGAGAAATGTATAGATTATTTTAACAGTCACACTTAGTATCTATCTTGTCTTAGGCAGAAGATTCAGTTTTGTATACAAATGTCTTCAGATAATGGAGTTGACAGAATAGGGTCTGCTGAATTTAAAATGGGACCTTGAAATGCCATTTAGTTAGCATATGGTGAGAGCCTTTTAGAAATGTCCATAAAAGTTTTGTTAGAATACAGTGAACAGTTGCAGACTATTTCCAAAGATGTATATTATATAACATAGTGAAATACAGAATTCAAAGCAAGTGTGTGAGTATATGTATATTCCATATTTTTGTATATGTGTTTACATATGAATCTATGTATGTGTATGTTTGTATAGGCACATCTAATATGGCTTTCATACACAGTTGTGATTATTTTCCCCAATTGGCAAATTTTTGACATGTTGTTATTTCTTTCCCTCTCAAATATTGTGATGGGTAAAACCTACAGCCTCAAATATTAAAATTTTCCATGAAATATACTGTGTGTACACTTGTGCATTTGTGTACACATACATACATATACATGGCAAATACATATACACACACAATGTTGCCTTTAGTGCTAATGCAAGTTGCATAGTGAAAATAATGTAGGTACAGTATCATGTATTTTTATCTGTCCTTGGAACTCTCTGTAAAATGTTGTGTATTTTGGAGTGAATTATGTGGTGTGTCTAACATTTATAAACATAACTCTGGGGAGATTTACAGCAAATTGATTTTACTGAAATACTAGAGCTATGAGGGGGCCACATTACTGTGATTGGAGCCATGTCTTTGTATAATGAAATTTGCATTTCTTTTTTTTCTTTTATTCATATGTGCATAAAATTTGCATTTGTATGTCAACATCCAGATCGTTTCATATGTTAATATGGTGGTAGGAATCCCTAATAAAATACTGTGGGGTAAAATATTTTGCAATTATTCAGTTTTATTTAAAGTTGTATAGTCAGTCTATTAGAAACTATGGGAAGATGCCCTCTAGGACCATGAAATATAGTCACCTTTTAATGATGATAGTATGAAAATGATTTCAGGTAATGGATGAGATTTACCCTCTGCAGAAATCACCCAGGCCAAAACCAGGAATATTAGTACTGAAACTACTCTAAGTACAAAAGAAAGCTATGGTCTAGTTGGTGGTATTAAAATAGAAGAGGAGGAAATGCTAGAGCGCTAGAAATTAAGAGGTCACTACCACTGGCAAGAACAGGGAGTCTTCCTATTCCAAAGAGAGCTGACTCAGACTCTTAACTTTGTGATTCTTGTCATGAGACTTCTGTTTCTGTCACAGGTCCTAAAAAAATTTATTTCAGTTGTACTCTCCCTACCACATATCATAGCCAGATATTCTGCTGAGGTTTGGCACAACTACAGCTGCACATCTGAATATTAAATCAGGTGTTACTTAGAATGAAAGAAAAGGGAGCCCTCCTTATGGGATATAAGTCCTCCTTATATCATAGATATTAAGAGGAATTGTCCCCCAGCTGTGGCTGCCTCTTCAGCCTGTCAAGGTCTTCTTAATCCACAGTCCTCAGCGTAACATGCTCCAGTATATAGCACAAAAAGAAACTCAATGGTTAGTGCTCAGATATGAACTGATTTATGGACAGGGGCCTGGTTCTAGCAGCTCTGCCTTTGTTTTACACAATGTCTGCTAACCCTCACGGCTCATACAAAATGGCCTTTGACCACTTATTCATTGTCTAATTCATTGAGCTCCTCAACCAGCCCCACTTCTTGGGAGAACCTTTCCTTTTATTCCTATGTTTTCTGAGTCAAATGGAGGAAGGATCTCTCACTAACATTCCCAACCTGGAGAGAAATTACTGAAGAGACACTTCTACTTCTTGGGTGACTTCTGGGATGGTTGTGGCTGATGTGTTATGAGTCTCATTGTGATCTTTTTCTACTGGGGTGAGATAATGTGCTAAAGTCTCTGCTTACTTGTACTCCTGCTTCTTCTCTCTTTCTCTCTGTCTTCTACCTGCTTTTGGGCTACCAGTCTCCATGCCTTAAACAGACCAAGCAGGACCTGCCCATGGTGGGCCCAGCCAAGATTGGCTCTCCTATGTTCCAGCCTCAGTCTGGGTAAGTTTGATGAGCCTAGCCAGGGGGCTCAGCTGTCATCACTTCAGAGAGGAAGAAAGAAACCTCATTTAGGCTTCAGATCTCAGCTGTATTCTCCAATTCATTAATAAAGGTGATTTTAACACTCTTCTGGCCATTTTGTCTTTTATCTGCTGGGAACTCAGATGGTGGCAGAATGGTGGTTAATATTTAGGACCATCAATCTCCAATGTTGTAAGGAAGGAAGGAATGAAGGTGCTCCTAGGTGAGCCTCAGGTATCAGAGGACTTCTGACATTGACATGAGCCCTCAGAGACCTCTCCAATGAGAGAGGGAATTGAGAATTAGTATTGGTAAAGAATGGATGGTTGATTAGAATCACACATCTCTGTTCTGTACCTTTAGTTGATATTATCCTAAATATCTCTTTGGAAAGGGAACGAGGGCCATCTTCCTAGTTACAGGGAAACTCTTAATAGGATAAAGGTATACTTTCTGTGGGTACTAAGTTTTTAGTCACACCTTTCAAATTCCAGAAGCTTCTCCAGCTACACCCATCCGATTCTTTTTAATCAAAGAATTATGATTATCGTCATTGGCTTTCCAAGGAGATTATCCTTCAAGGGAGAGAATATATTAACAAACTAATGTTAGTTTCTACTATGTGTGACAGATATATTCTTCAGAAGTTAAAAACTCAGTATTCTAGTTCATTAGTCTCTTGCTATTTTTTCTTTCCTCTCTATCTCTCTCTCTCTCCCTCTCCCTCTCTCTCTCTCCTCCCTCTCCCTCTCCTTCTCCCCCTCCCATCCCCTCACCTTCCCCCTCCCCCTCTGCTTCCCCCTCTCTCTTACAGTACTGAGTGGAGTTTGAGCTCAGGACTTCATGATTGTTAAGCATGTGCTCTACTACTTGAGCCACACCATCAGCCCTCTTGAAATTTTCTTGATGTGAATCAACCTGAGTTTCCTGAACTCTTTGAGCATCTGCTTCTGCAAAGCTGCAAATCAGACCACTGTTCACAGTGGTACCCATGTAAATGTATTGTTCCCTGGTGATATTGTTACCATGTAATTCGTCAAAACCATGACTTTTTTGATGGTGAGAGGAGATGTCCTTAATAATTGTGCCGTAACAATAATAATTATCTGGGATTGTTTCAGATA